TAAAAGGCGGCCAAATTAAAAGACTGTTGGATTAAGAGGCGGCCAAGCTCAAAGTCCGCTGAACTCATTCGCTGCCGTAAAGTCCGCTGTATATATCTAAAAGACCAAAATTACGTACTAAAAATCAGCCAAAGGCGGCCCTATTGAATGCGACTCTGTTTCTAAATAATTTATAAGTTATAAACTTGGTGTAAGTGGCAACTTTGCCTAAATCAAGTTGCATGAAGTATCCAACATGTGTTAATAATCGACTTAACAATGAAAATATATTAATTCATGAGTACATTGAATTGTGAAAAACTATTGCAGATTATTCAATTTTGTACAAATTTTCTAAAAATATTAGTTATGTTTTATAAATAGTTTAAAAATTACATATTATCAAACAAGAAACAAACTGTAGTAAATTAAAAACAAGATCCAAATTTCCAAAGCAATTTGTTAATCAATAACTTAAAAACGACTCGTCGATTATTGACAAAATTTAATCAGCAAGATTCTCAAATGGAAAACGTTTGTAATGGTTTTTGAATTTTTAAAATCAATTCACTAATTAAAAATTTGAGACTTTTTTGAAAATTCTAAAGGCAAAACTAAGCAGCACGAGTGCTTATCAAATTTACGAATTTTGACGATTTTTCAAATGAGATTGTGCATTTTTGAGAAAAGGTCCACTAAAGATGAAATTTTGACTCACGTAAAAAAGCGCCGCTCATTTTTGCAATCTTTGATAGTACAGATTTTAAAAATTAAAATGACTTAATGTGGGTTTAAATATTTAGTTATCTTAAAGACCATGATGACTATCGCCAAAAAAGTTTTATAAATATCATCGTAAAGCAATATTCACCAATTAAACACGAAGAAACGAACCGACCGATCTCTTAGAAGTAATCAGCACGATTCCTAAATGATATCTTTCAAACAGTTCCTGAATTTTTAAAATCGATGCAGAATTTTTGGCTAAAACGTTAATAAATTTTATATTTTTCTGTTGATTAGAAACAGCTTGGCCGATCGTCGCACAAAACTGACAGGCGCTAGTCATTATCTAGTAACATCAAATGACTTTTAAACTTTTGAATTGGATTTAACCGTTTTTGAGAAAACGTCGCCGAAAATTCAAAAATCGGCTTTCAAACGATTCAGAATGACTTAAAATGTCGAGAAAACTTGAAAATTACAAGACGATTTTTTTCGTGAGAACAACATATTGGATATTTTCCTATTATGCTATTTTTAAGGGCGGCCATTTATATGCTCGCACGCAGGCGGCCACATACCCAGGCACGGCCCTGCCAATTATTACTATTTACCGCACGGCACAGCTTTAGCCAATGCCTTATTAAATGACATAGAGAAAAGATTTGGACCAACAATGCTGCATTCTTCGGGGAACAGATATTCATGACCAATTTTGATCTAAAATCCGGTTCGAAGGACCAATTATGGTGAGGATCACTTTGATTAATTTGATATTGAGTGGACTGTAAATTATAAATATTTCATCACCATAAGAAGATGTGAATAAAACCACTATTTAATTTATGACATATATTGAACTACGCTCTACAACCTTCTTCTCTTATTACATTTGCTAGACTCGCTTATTATTATATGTTACAGGTCATAGCTGGGCATTAACTCGTTAATCCGTTAATCGTTAATTAACGAAGTTAACATTTTGATTAACGGATTAACTTTTAAGTTAACTTTTAAAAATGTTAACGGACACGTTAACTTTCGTTAAAATGCGAGAAGTCCGTTAATCGTTAATCCAATGCCTACTATTTACCGCACGGCACAGCTTTAGCCAATGCCTTATTAAATGGCATAGAGAAAAGATTTGGACCACTCCTGAATGATGAACAGTGCCAACTTGCCGCGGCATTTCACCCAAAGTTTCGGTTAATGTGGCTGGAAACGTATGACAGCAGTAGAGAGGAATGCAGTAAGAAAATGCACGGAAAAAAAGGTAGAAGATGCCTTATGGCAAGAAGCAGCAAAAAATTCGAAGGACTGAGATAGTTTAAGTGGCTCGATGACGAGAAGGAAGACTTTTTCAATTCTGTCACTCAGTCTATAGAAAAACCAAAGAGCTACAAACTCTTTAAGGAACTAGCTGTAAGTGGAATTCTGTCTTAAGGCAATTAAGGCGTTGTGCCTTAAGGCAAATTGCTGGTACTTTCCGTACCTAAAATTATTATTTTTTAAAAACGATTGACATTTTTGAAAAAAATTTACTTCGAAAAAATAAGATTTTTGAGAAACTATAAACTATTGGACAAAAAATTAATTTTTTTTGAAAAAAAAAATGTTTTCTTTATTTTGACATATTTTGGAAGATCTGAACTTTTTTTCAAAGCAATTTTACTGCTTTAGGACTGCATAGAGACATAATATAAAGCGCCGCGTCGCTGTCTAAAGGATAAACATTGGTTCGGAACCCATAGGAATGTAAATAAAATTTATACTTATTGTTAAAATCTCTATAAAATATCTAATAATTTGATGTGCATATGTCTAATGATCATTTTGACCGCCAAATGGCATTTTTTTTACTTTTTTCATTAGATCTCCGAAACCGCTAGACCTGCCTTCATGAAAAATTGATCAGTTCTTCATAATTGTCAATACAAGTAAAATGTTTTTTGAATTATTCAAATTGGACGCTCCGTTCTCTTAAAAACTGAGTTACCGTTTTTGGGTCAATTTTGCCCCATATCTTCGGAACGGCTAGACCTGCCTTTGCCAAAAACTAATCAGCACGTCTTCTTATCAATACGAATCGAATGTTTTTTGAATTATTCAAATCGGTTGATCCGTGTTCCCGAAATCGTCGACGAAAATTTGTATCCGCACATACATACACACACGTACATACATACACACACATACACACACACACACACACATACATCCATTTTTTCTAAGGTATGCCAAATGTTCAGAAACCTCTGAAACGTAAAAATATATAAAAAATTTCATTTTTGATTTTTTTGCGATTACTATAACTTGCCCTACGAGAAGTTAATAAGTTTTTTAAGTTCACTAACGCAACGATATAAAAATGTAATTTTACACATATTAACGGATTAACGATTAACGTTAACTTGCGTTAATTCTTCCGAAATGTAACGCTTTAACGTTTAACGAAGTTAACTTTTTTTGTAGCGGATTAACGATTAACGAAGTTAACTATTTGATTAACGGTGCCCAGCTATGTTACAGGTATTTATACTCATATAATTGTACCCCCTACCCCGAAGGGTCCCGGTTAAATAAAAGCCCTGGTCAAATCTTGACCACAATTTATTAAATACAATACTGCTATACCCTCAAGTGCTGCAGTTGAACGTTTGTTTTCCACGGGTAAAGACATTTTGACACCAAAACGAGCCTCGCTTTCAGACGAGAACTTCAACATGTTAATGTTCATGAAGAGAAATATGCACCTAATACCCGACGCTTAACCCGTCGCGCGTTTCCTATTTTTCGCAAAAAAAACTCTTTCCCTTTATTTAGAAAACAATTCTTGTAAAAACAATATGCAATCATAAAAACAGAAAGTTGACCAATAGCGTTATTATCACGGTGTGTGCATAAAGCGCGTCGCGCCATTAAGGGGTTGAATTACACATTTGAATTATACAAGTATTTTGTTTTATTCATAACCTGTTAACTTCCAGGACCTAAACCAATAAGTTTTTCAAGTTCACTAATGCAACAATATAAAAATGTAATTTTACACATATTAACGGATTAACGATTAACGTTAACTTGCGTTAATTATTCCGAAATGTAACGCTTTAACGTTTAACGAAGCTAACTTTTTTTGTAGCGGATTAACGATTAACGAAGTTAACTTTTTGATTAACGGTACCCAGCTATGCTTTTAATGTATAAAAAACATTGAAATCTTAAGTTTTTTTTATATATAGTCACAAGCTTATACGGCGAATAAAAATAATCAATAATAATAATTATTCCACCTACAATAAAATGAAATTTTGAATAACAGAAAAAAATGTACAGATTTCGAATGATAATAATTTAAAAATAGTCCAAAGAGCCGCACTGGTAGGCAATGGAAAATAAAAATTTACAACTTTTCACGCACTGACAAATAATTTTTCTACATTATTTGTTATGAACAACATAGATAAGATCAGTGTTGATAGAATGACGTTAACATTTTTTTATATATTTTATATTTCCGACAAAAAGTGAGTTTGAAAAAAGGGGCCACTTTCACATGTTTTCACTGATATATCGGCAAAATGTTGAGATAGGGAGTTGAAAATTGATATATTGTATTAAATTTTTTCGAAAAGACCTATAAAATGGCGTCAAAATCATTTAAATACTAGGGTGGGGCCGATTCTTTGCTACACGCCCATACCCTTTAATGTTTCCATTTCTTTCAATTTAGCTATAATTTTAAACAATTCTGAAATCCCTACCATCTTTTCTTTTGCCAATTTTGATGTCATTTTCCTGTTTACCAATATTCCTTGGGATCTTGCTTTTACAGGCTTTTGGTGATCTCGATGAGGACTAGCGTTTATCAATTTTGCGCGACAATTAGCCAAGCCATTTCTTTGTAAATAGCAAAAGAAAAGTGAAAATTTGTTTGTCCAATTCTGCATCAATTTCGAAAGCCTTCGAACGATATTGGTTGGGAATCGACCTGATTAGTTTTTGGCCGGGCCGTTCTCTTGTAATAAAGTGTTAAAGAAACAATTTCTACGATTTTTATTATTATTTTTTTGACGGTAAAATTATATATTTCATCGACGTTTGCATAAAACGCCTGAACCGATTTCAGAAATTTAAAAGCCATTTGATGTATCTCGATGAGAACTATCGTTGTCTGTTTTGCGCGACCATCTGCCAAGCCGTTTTTTTGTAATTTGGAAAAAACTTTTCATCCACATTTAAGCTCATACTACCGAATCGATTTTAAAAATCAAAAACTATTCGAAAGATATTAGTTAGGAATGATACTGATTAGCTTTAGGTGAAACCTACCGAGCCGTTTTCTTGTAATTAACTGTTGGAAAAAAATTTTAAGACGCTTTTCATGGAATTTTTTTTTGTCGATATATATCATGGTTTTATAGAACTTACTGAAATATTACGGCGTTACGACAAGTAGTTTAATTTTAAAAATTAATCAGAGTTTGAGAAAATGAGTAGTTTTTTTTGACGTTTGTTAAAATTAAAATTAAACGATTTAATTGGTATAACGATAGAGTGTTTGTTCATTTTCAATGATGTGTGATAAATCCACTCGGAATACTTTTAATCACTAATAAATTAATTTATATTTTATTGATTCAGTCGATTATTTACACATACCGGGAAGTTCATGTAACTTACCTCAAGGCAAAATACTAATACCAACTAGTTCAAAATCAAATTCTTCCTCTCTAGATAATATAAAGATGTTATTTGTTCACCTTTTTTAAGCATTTTTCTTATTTTTTAAAAAAGTTATTCGCTTCTGAAGGTTTTTTCTTAGTTTTCAGTTTTGACAACACGTTCAGTTGCCTTTTTCTGCTCTTAAATCAAAAACTCCTGCGGATAGGGTTAGTGATTCGGTTCACAAGTTGGACTGCAATGATTGCAGTAGTTGTTATATTGGAGAAAGTTTTCAATATATACAAAAGAGTGTTAATCAACATGTATATAATTCTAGAAAACCAAATCAATTCAAACTATGTTCTTCTTCTGTTCGTCTTCAAATGTCCAATCTTACCATCGTGTATATCGAAAAAAAAACTGTGACCGTAGAAAGTTAGTTGTGTCGTTACTTATATCTCTTAAGGG